CCCTCAGCAGGAGCGCCGCCACACTCCCAAGCGGGGCACTCTCCAGTGCGCCACCGGGCCTGCCCAGTTTTGTTTTTTATTTAAAAAAATTATTTCTTACCTGTATTTGGATAGTCTTGAGAGTGGAACTTTTAAATTTTATTCTTATGGTTACTCCTAAATTGTTGAAAGTCATATATATATATATTTTTTTTTTTTGGCCATTTTTTTTATTGGTTATGAATATTCGTGGGGCACAAAGCTGACTGTTACCACTCGTGCCCAAGATGTGATGGCCAGATCCATACTGGAAGCATGTCCATTGCCACAAATTGTGATTATACTCCATGTCTGCCGACCTCCTTCCCCATCCTCCTTTCCCATCCTCCTTTCCCCCCTACTCTGCTTTGTATGCCTAGGTCTGTTCTCTCCCTCTGCAAGTCCGACGCACCACTGTGGTCTTTCTTTCCTTCCTTCTTCTGTCTTAGCTCCCACACGTAAGTGAGCACATGCGATATTTATCCTTCTGTGCTTTGCTTATTTCACTCAATACAAGTTTCTCCAGACTCATCCATGTTGTAGCAAGTGGCAGAATTCCATTCTTTCTTATGGCAGAGTAGTATTCCATGGTGTATATGTACCACATTTTCCTTATCCAATCATCCATCAGTGGATATTTGGGTTGGTTCCATATCTTGGCTATTGTGAACAGAGCAGCAATGAAAGCCATATTTATGCTATTTCCCCATCAATTTTTAAAGGAGGTCTGTACTTCTCCCTTCTCCCCACGCCCTTCCTTCTTCCCAAATGAGGAAGGGACAGCAGCTCACTGGCACCTTCCTACTGTCTTTTCATGCCCCACCTCCAGTTCCTCAGTTCTTTTGCTCATATTTTAAGGAGTTTTTGCTCTGCGCCCCCCACCAGGTTGTTGTGGGTTTATCTTCTTCCTCTCCCCCTCCTGTTTTGTAATTCTTGTTTATTTAAACCTCAAAATTAATGAATTTCTTTATCGTGGCTTCCTTCTGTATTCATTTCTCTTCTTCCTGTAAAATATCTTTCAAATGGCTTCCATGTTGGTATATTTTCTGACATCTTATATGTCTTAAAATGTCTTTATTGTATCTTCACTGTTAAATGCTAGCATAATATGATTTAATATTCTAGGGCTAATGATCTTTCTTCTCAGCAGTTTGAAAATATTAGCACATTGTATTTGTGTATTCAATGCAGCTGAGAAATCTGACATCAATTTCAGGATTTTTTTTGAGGGGGTTTTGCTTCCTCATGCCCTTCAGAAACCTTTTTTTAAAAAAAAAATTTGTCATAATGTGTCTCAGGAAAAGACTGTTCCCTCGAGCCTCCTTGTTGTCTAAACTTTTTCAGTCTGCAATCCTAGAGCTTTCTTTAGTTTTGGGAAAGTGTCATTAGTCATTTCTTCAGGTGATTTCTCCTTTCTCTTACCTTCTCTTTTGTGGATGCTTCTTCATCCCTTTTATCTTTACCTTCTCTCTTTCTATACCTATATCCTTCCTGACACTTTCTGGGAGAGTTACTCAACCCAATCTTTCTGCTTACTAATAATTTAACTTTGTTAATTCTGCTGTTAATTTCTTCTGTCAAGTTTTAATTTTTGTAAAATATCTTTCGTATCCAGTTTCTCAAATTGTTTTTATTTTGTCATTTGTCTTGTTCCTGCTTTGTATGTTCAATGTTTATTTTGCTTGTTTTATTATGTTCTGTCAGTTATTTATATTTATTATACCTGTTTTAAATTCCTATTGCATGAATTTTTCTTTTTTTTTTTTTTTCCTTTTTGTCTCTTTTTTTACTGACCGGTAACGGGATCGCAACCCTCGGTGTCACGCCCGTACCAGGGACTGGCAACGGGATCGCAACCCTCGGTGTTGCGCCCGCACCGTGCTCAGCCAGTGAGCGGGAACCGGTCTCCACATGGGATCTGAACCCTCGGCGGGAGCGCCGCTGCGTTCCCAAGCGGCACAATCTCCAGTGCGCCACCAGGCCGGCCCACATGAGTTTTTCTTTATATACAAGTTGTTCTATTAGTGGTGCTTGTGCTGGATGGATAGTGCAGTTCCATCTGATTGTCTTGGCTCATGTCGCCCAGGACTATGGCCCCACAGGGTGAGCACAGCATCTCACTCCACTGTGGGCCCATTAGCCCCGGTGCACAGAATGGAAGATTAGGCACTAAGACATTCAAGTGGAATCTTTATGCTCTTCGTGGATAATCCCCTTGAGAAGAGATTTACCTGCTAGACACATTGTCTATCAAGAATGACCAGGGTATAGCCAATTCAGTGTGAAGTTCTTTTGATTTAGAAAAAAAAATTTAAGACCATAATTGCTTTTGTTAATTTTCATGACAGCATCATTTGTAGGGTGCAGTATGTGGCATTAGTACAGTTAAGGAAAATAAACGTAAAATGAAAAGCAAGTCAAAGCTAATATTTTCAGTTAGATGAGAAAACAAAAGGCCGTTTAAGCTATCTGAAGCAGAAAGAAAGGCCTATGGATATTAACATATAAATTCATGAAAAATCTATATCTCTAGCTCCAGCTGTGTATCAAATAGCTTTAGGAAAAGCACATAATCTTTTAGTCTGTCACTACTTTCACTTCATAGCCATCAGTTCCATCAACAAACTGAGACAAATTCTCCTGAAAACCATTAGGAACCTAAAGTCAACATTCAGTGTCATCATTATCTTCTCCGTCACCCTCTGCTAATTAAGTCAGATGCAGTTTCAAATAAGCCATGGATTATCATTTTAGTGTGAACTCTCCTCAATTACACCAAAGAGGAAAGCCGGGGGTGGGGGAAATCAACTCATGGGTTAGCCACAGCAAACAGTCAATACATCTATCAGCTCTTTTCTGGCAATTTTAATCTCTCCCTTGGCTTTTTTCCCCTATAACTTTCCTTCTTTTCTAATTTATGCTTTGCTTTTAAATATCTCACATTCTTTCCCCTCCTTCCCTATACACTTTTCTTCTACTAATCCATCTGCTGTATACCTTTTTATTAATTTCAGGAAGCATTATTTACAGTGTTAGTGTGCTTCAGTTGAGACAAGAGATAAAAGTGAATAATAGTTTTAAGATTAAATAGCATTTTTGTGTGTTATAAAATAAATTTGATTCCTGTATTACAAAACAAAAGTAGGAATTAGAAGCTCAGTGGTTATCTACATTAAATTCTGAAGAGACCAGAAGTGCATTTATAGTCATGAAAATAAATGTTCCCCAATTTGAATTTGAGCGGTAATTTAAAAAGATGTTTCTTGTTTGTGTATTTTTCTTTTCTTTCCAAATAGGAAGTGAGTAGTATAAGGTCAGAAACTTTGTCTTTTTCATCTTCATATCATAGATTCTTAAAGAGTTCATGAACCTACTAGAGGTTCAGTAATATTTTTAAGGTGAATTAATGAATGAAGATATGAACTTAACTTACAGCATTATGCTGCCATAGACTATTGTTGTGACCTTATTGTATAAGGTAAGAGAATAGACTTTGAAGTTATGTGTCTTTGAGTTTAAATCCTGAACTTTCAATGTACTAGATGTATTACTTATCAATTGCTGCATAGCAAATTACCCTGAATCTTAGTAGCTTAAAACAATGCTTATTATCCCACAGTTTCTGTGGGTCAGGAATCCTGGGGCAGCTGGTTACTGTCTCAGGGTCTCTCATAGGCAGCAATCAAGATGTTAAAGGTGTTGGCCTGGGCTGTAGTCATCTCAAGATTCAACTGAAGGTAAATTTGCTTCCAAGCTCATGCACGAGGTTATTGGTAGAATTTGGTTTCTTGTGGGTTGTTAAAGTGGGGGCTTCATTTTCTTGCTGGCTCTTAGCCAGAAGCCACCATCGGTTCCTTGCCATTTGGACCTCTCCATGGGGCAGCTCCCATTATGGCAGCTGGCTTTTTTAGAGTGAGCAAACTAGAAGAACTAGAGAACACAAGGAAGTTGGAAGTCACAGTCTTTTGTTACCTAACCCCAAAAGTAATATCCTATCATTTTTGCTGTATTATATTTGTTAGAAGTCAATCACTAGTAAATATGAATACCAGAAGGCAAGGACTGCTGGGGGCAATTTTAGGAGGCTGCTTACCACAATAACCATGTGACCTTGGTCATTTACTTGAGCTCCTTTTCTCAGTTTCCTCATCTGTAAAACAGGAATACTAATAGGACTTACCTGTTAGGACTGTTGTGATAAAAATAATGAGAATGTGCACATCAGTGTTCTGGCAAAGGGCTAAACACAGAGCAAAATTCAGTGCAATAATACTGTGCTATTATTCTTGTTATTTTTTAATTATGTCATGTCTTTGTGTGTAGATGTCTTATTTGTAACATAAGTGAGGATTAGTTGATCTCCAAGTCTCTTTCTAAACCCTAGGGACATGTTGATTTTCTAGCCCTAGAAATCTATAGACATTTGCTTTATTTTCAACAGTCTTAACATTTTTAGCATTTTTTTAAAACTCAGCATTAGTGTTTATTTCCTCACCCTTAAAATACTTCATTATGATCATGTTTTAAAAACCTGTTATTCCTGAAAGAGCTATGCTATTATTAATGTTTGGAGCCAATCAACTGTTGTGGGGACCCCATCCCAACAGTCGAAGTTTTACGAACTCTAGTCCCTACTCTGCTAGTTGAGAGGCTGTAGACAAGTCTTTGAACATCTCCGACCTCAGTTTGTGTAACTCATGAATTGATGAGTGGGTGAGTTGGACTGAATAATCTCTAGCATTTCTTCCAGCTTTAACAATCTTTGGACCTAATTTCCATTTGCTTCCTATGTTGGTTTTTAAATCTCCTTTCCATGTATTCCATACATATTTACTTAGGGCCAATTTCCTGAGATTAGTTTTCAGGCGTTTTTAGAACATTCTCAGTTTCATAAAGATTATAGGATAGATATAACTATGGTTACATAATTTTAGGAAGAACTATTAAAATGTAAAGAAAAAAAATTGTTTTGAGAATGAGTAAACCTCTAGGATATCCTTACAGAGGTTGCTTCTTTTTCTAAATTATTTTTAAAAATTGAAACATAATTGATTATACTTATTTGTGGGTACAGAGTTGAAAATCAGTACTTGTGTAAAATACATGATGGTCAAATCAGAATAATTAGCGTATTCAGCATTACAAAACGTAATCATTCCTTGTGTCCATTAACCAATTTTTTGGTACCCTTTCCCACCTCAAGTAACCATGGTTCTTTTCTCTTCTTCTGAAAGTTCAATGTATTATTGTGATTTTTTCTTTTTCTTTCTTTGTCTTTCTTTCTTTTCTTTTTCCTTCCTTCCTTCCTTCTCTCTCTCTCTGTCTTCTTCTGAAAGTTCAATGTATTATTGTGATTTTTTCTTTTTCTTTCTTTGTCTTTCTTTTCTTTTTCCTTCCTTCCTTCCTTCTCTCTCTCTCTATCTCTTTTCTTCCTTCCTTCCTTCGCTCCCATTTATTTGTGAGGACATGTGGTATTTCTCTTTCTGTGCCTGGCTTATTTCATTTAACAAAATCTTCTCCAAGCTCATCCATGTTGCTGCAAATCACAGAATTTCATTCCTTTTTATGGCTGAGTAGTATTACATTGTGTATATATACCATGTTTTCCTTATCCAGTTGTCTGTTGATGGCTTCAGGTTGCTTTCATAACTTGGCTATTGTAAATAGAGCTGTGATAAACATAGGATTGCAGGTATCCCTTCAACAATAACGATTTCCATTCCTTTGGGTGGGATTTCTGGATTCTCTGCTAGTTCTATCTGTAGTTGTTTGAGAAACCTCAATATATCTTCCTTAACGGCTGTACTAATTTATAGTCCCACCAACAGTGTAGAAGAGCTCCCTTTTCTCTGCATCCTCACCAGCATTTGTTATTCTACAGAAGTCATTTCTATAAAATCACAGAAAAATGAAGTCAGGTGATTTTATCTGTATACATTAGGGGAAAAGATACTCCCAAATGAGGAAAAATATTTTTGGACTTTTGGATTGACTGAAATTCAAAGTCAAAAAAATTGGATTTTTTTTTCTGTAGTGATCTGAGTCACTGCACATTTCCTAAGGTCTCACTTGTGCCTTCCTAGAAATAGCTGTGGACATTTATGAGTTGCCACGATAAAATAAGAAAACTTGAATAAAAACCAAACAAACCAGACCTATACATCCAAAAAGGTTTGATCTCTTTCAAACAGTCATTTTTATAGGATGCTATTATAGTTTAGTCATCTTTGAAATTTCTTTTTTGAAACTTCATGCATAATCTGAGGAAAATCCTTTCAAACATGCTCATTGATAAAAACACTCTATTGTCTATTTCCTGAATTCAAATCCAAAGTCAAAGAAATACAGGCATATCTCAGAGATATTGTGAATTCATTTCCAAACCACCACAGTAAAGAAAATATCACAATAAAACAAGTCCGCACTCATTTTTTTTGTTTCCCAGTGCACATAAAAGTTATGTTTATACTACACTGTAGTCTATTAAGTGTACAATAGCATTATGTCTAAGAAACAAATGTACATACCTTAGTTAAAAATACTTTATTGTTAAAAAATGCTAATGATCATCTAAGCCTTCAGTGAGTAATGATCCTTTTGCTGGTGGAGGGTCCTGCCTTGATGCTGATGGCTGTTGACTGATCAGGGTGGTGATTTCTGAAGGCCATCACTGGGGTGGCTGTGGCAACCTCTTTGACTAGGACAACAATGGAGTTTGCTGCTCTTGATCGGCTCTTCCTTTCACCAAAGCTTTCTCTGTGGCATGTGATCATGAGGTTGTAGTGAGTGAGTCGGTCACATCTTCGGGCTGCACTTCTACCTCCAGTTCTCGTGCTATTTCCACCACATCTGCAGTTATTTTTTCTGTTGAAGTCTTGAATTCCTCCAAGTCATCCACGAGGGTTGGAATCAACTTCTTCCAAACTCCTGTTAATGGTGACATTTTGACCCGCTCCCATGAATCACAAATGTTCTTAAAGGCATTTGGAATGGTGAATTTATTCCAAAAGGTTTCCTCATGAAGCTTAATCATTTTTAGTTTTTGATTTAAAGTGAGTGATATGAGACTGTTCCTTTCACTTGAACACTTAGAGGCCATTATAGGATTATTAATTGGCCTGATTTCAATATTGTTGTGCCTCAGGGAATAGGGAGCCTGAGGAGAGGGAGGGAGATGGGGGAAAAGCTGGTCAGTGGAGCAGTCAGAACACACACCACATTTACCAATTAAGTTCACCATCTTACATGGGTGTGGTTCACGGTGCTCCCCAAACAATTGCAACGGTAAGTTCAGAGATCAGTGATCACAGAATCATAACAGGTATGATAATAATGGAAAAGTTTGAAATATCTCGAGAATTACCAAAATGTGATGCAGAGACATGAAGTGAGCCCATGCTGTTGGAAAAAATGATGCCGATAGGCTTGGTCACCACAAGGTTGCCACAAACCTTCAATTTGTTAAAAAAAACAGTATCTGCAAAGCACGATAAAGCAAACACAATAAAATGAGGCATGCCTATATCATTTGAAAGTAAGAACAATGGATTAAGTGGCTGATCAAACTGGGTAATACTTTTTAGTGTGTAAAGCAAGGGACAACAGCAAGATGAGAGTGGTTCTTCTCTTGTTAAAAACTAGCTCCAAGGGCTGGCCCGGTGGCGCACTGGATAGTGCACCGCTTGGGAAGCGCGGCGGCGCTCCCACCGAGGATTCAGATCTCACATACAGACCGGTTCCCGCTCACTGGCTGAGCGAGGAGCGGACGCAGCACCGAGGGTTGCGATCCCGTTGCTGGTCCCGGTCCGGTACGGGGGCAACACTGAGGGTTGCGATCCGTTGCCGGACACGGAAAAAGACAAAAAAGACAAAAAAAAAAAAAACTAGCTCCAAAGATAGTTCAAAAGACAACTCCTCAAATTGTTCAGAATAAGGGGTCTACATTGAAGAAAAACTCTTACGTGTCCTTTGCTATGTTTTGAAAAAATTTCAGCCTCTCAGTTTGTATAAAGTGTTAATTCATTTGAACCTGAACCATCTTGGCAGTTAAATTCTGGTTCTACAACTTAGGAACTGTGTGACATTGGGAGAGATACTTGGTATCACTGACTTTTATCTTCAGTTATAATGTGGGGTAATATGTCACAGAGATGTGAAGAGGATTAAATGAGGAGATTTGTGAATATATTTTACAAACTCTAATGGGTAATACCCATGATAGTTATCAACATGAATAATGTCATCATATGCATAATTTGTCTAAACGTAATGAAATCACAAGCTAATAAAATATTATTTCTATCAAAAATGATGATAGGAATAATAATAGTGACATTTTTAGCATACTTACTTCCTGTCAGGCACACTAAGCTCCTTACTTATATAGCCATATTAGTGTAATTGTCATGAACACTCTCTGAGTTTCTATCTTAGAGGTGAGAAAGCTGAGGTTTAGAGAGTTTAATTTTGCCAAAATTATAAAACTAGCAAGCAACAAAGCCTAGATTTAGGTCCAGATTCAGATGACTTCCAATCCAATTCTTTTAAACTCTGTGCTAAACATTTCCAGCACAAAAAAATAAAGAGAAAGGAATGCACAAGCTTCTCTTTATATATTGCGTCAGTAATTCTCAAACTTAGCTGCACACAAGAATTACCCTGGACATTTTAAAAACATCCCAATGTCCAGGACACACCTGAAACCAGTAAGGTAAAATTCCTTGGTTGAATCCAGATATTGGCCCCGAGGGAAAAAAAAAACTCAACTCTCCAGGTGATTCCAACATGCAGCCAGGTTCAAGACTGCATGTATTAAATAGTCAGCCCCCGAAATCGACTAACTAGAGTAATGAAGACCTTGGGCTAGGGAGTAAGATGATTCTAACTCCTGTTTGGCTGCTTATGAATTGTGTGATCATGAACAGGTTACTTCCCTTCTTTAAATTTGCAAATGATACTAATAACATTATACATTTATGGTGAAAATCAAATAACTGATGAAATGTTCCAGCCCACTGCCCAGAACATAAGTAGTGCCTGGTAGTAGTAATACTTCATATTTTGTGTTCGTGCTCTGCACAGATTGTTCATTGCTTCATGAAACCTTTAAACATACATTTTTCTGTCCCTGGGTGGAAATAAGATGCTACTATTGGGCACTGAAGTGTCTTTTAAATAAATAATTTTATGCCATTTTTAGAGTAGCATGGAACTCTTTTTTTAAAGAGTAGTAAAGAGACTGACAATATTTAGCAACAGAAGAAAATTTACTTATCCTGGGAGTAACCCAAACCACTTAGTAATGAGGGGGATAGTAATTTGATGCCTTGATTAGTTAATAGGGATGTTCTGGAAATGACCATTTACATACCTACATAGACACGTGTTATTGCCCTTTCCCCTTGTAACGTGTTTACTTTTCTCACACAGGTGTAGGCAGCGGGTTCGTTTGAATTAGTGTTTTAAGTGTTTAATGGAGATGAGTAATTGCTTGCAGCTGCATATATCTGTAGACTTGTTTTTCTTTTAGTAGGGGACAAGATAATTTGCCAGACAACTTTGGAAAGTGTAGTCTTGGTTGTCCCCATATACTTGGGGGTGACTTTTTTGTGTGAGTTGAAATGCCACTGAACCTTCCCCTTCCTTCCTCCCTCCCCTTCAAGAGACATCCTGGTAGCTGGGGGATAGGCCGCCAATTTTATCTTTTCAAGGGGGTTTTCCCCTTCAATATGAAAGGTAATTAGTATGGTTTCATTTTGAGTGAGGATTATAAACATGAATAGCTAATAGTCTTTTGAGGGTGGAGGGAAGAAATTTCCAGAACTGGTCCCTTCCAAATTTAACATCTAAAATATCGTTTGAAGATGAGGTATTACAGTGTGATAGATATAGCTTGAAGATGTAGGTATGAGCCTGAGGAGCACTGAGAGGGTGAGCCACTGGAAATCTGACTTGACAATTTTGGGAAGAGCCTATCTATCATCTTCAGATTTTACTGGAAGTTTTCAAGATGCCAAAATGCAAAAGTAATTTTATTGCCTGCTGATGGTAAGGCAAAACACGATGTATGTCCTCAAAATGCAGCAATGAAGTTGCTGACCCAGAACAAAAGAAAGTGAGGATTTATTTCTACTAGTGCTGATGGGTTTACAGATAGAGCATTCACATCTATGTAACTACCCTCCATCCTAATCTCCTTTGTGACTTGGCAGGACCACAGGTGACCCTGGAACAGAAAAAGGCAACAACGGTTCCTTGAGAGTGTGGCACTCGGGCCTGATCGACCACAAACTTGTTTCCATCCCCCCCCCCCCCCCCCCCCCCCCCCCCCCACCCAGGACCGCTTCTTCCCCTCTTTGTAGAGATTTTTTGTGTTTTTTTATATAAAAAAAAAAAAAA